TGTTTTTAGGGGTTGTTGTTGTTGTTGTTGTTGTTGTTGTTGTTTTGTCTTTGAGGCAGTGTCTTGGCAAAGTTGCCCAGGCTGAGCTTGAACTTACAGTCCTGTCTCAGCCTTCCAGAGGGCTAGGAGAGATGCACCATCACACTCAGCTCAGGTGATTATTTTCTAAATTGTTGGGTTGAGTTTGCTAATATTTTATTTAGGATTGTTGCACCTTCCTATGAGTGAAAAACAAATTAGGTTTTCTTCTTCTCAAAATGGCCTTGTCAGGGTATACTGTATCAGCCTCCAAAAATTAGAGGGCCTTCCCTCTCCTGTTCTGCAGACAGTCTGGCTAAGATAGCCAGTGTTAAAAATTTCAGTAGACTTTTCAGGAGTAGGGTTTTAAGTGCTCTTTCAACTACATTAACGTGTAACAGATATACAGAAAACTACAACTCCTATAATAGTAATTACACAAATGTACTGTTTTATTAACATTGATTTGAGAGATTGAGCCACATCATACCTTGTTTCCTGCAGCTGAAGTGGTTCGTCCTAACACTTGCACAGTGTTATGCTTTATGCATATAACATGATGCTTCCATTCATGTTCAGTGGGCCTTGGAGCAGTTGTCATCTTGACCATTGCAGATGATGCTGCTGAGATCTTAGGCTGCCTCTTTTGGTGAGAAGGAGTTTTGCATTTCTGTTGTCCAGGAGTAGAACTGCTGAGTCATATACCTGTGTGTGTTTAGCTTTAGTGGATGCTTCTAGCAAGTTTCCAAAATGCTTACCAGTTTCTGTGTCTTCCTAAGTTTTAATAAAGTATATTTTTCTAGAGAATTGTCTGTTTCATCAAAGCTATTAGTATAAATGAAGTGTTCCTATGATTTTTTATAATCTGCCATTATACCCTTGTATTAGATCTAGTACATTTATGTGTGCTTTTATCTTCCCATCGAATTCACAAGCCATATCTGTTTACTTGATATTTAAAATAAGCAACATTTGCACTCACCTTTCTACTCTCCGCCTCCCTCTCTCTTCCTCTCTTTGTCTCTCTCTCTCTCTCTCCCACTGTAAACATACAAAACAGAGCCTCAGATCCTCAAACTGAGTTGCATCTCCAGTTCTTTGGATTTTTTTTATTTATTTATTTTCCCACACATTCTAACCTAACTCTCAAGTAACCCCGTGAGGTAGCAACACAGAGGTCTGTCTCATTTAACAGATGAAGAACGTGAATCTCAGCTGTTAACCGATGTGCCCCAAGTTCTACAGTCAGTAAATACGATAGTTTTTATTAGTATCAATCTTTGGCCTAAAAATTCAGCACCCAGCCCCCCTTGTACTTGCCCTACCTACTTCACAAGGTCAGTGAAGATAAAATGAAAGCAAAGCTAGAAAAATACTTTGAGGAACAAACACTGTCTAACTTTACCTGTAAACTAGAATCGTCCCTGATATGTGGCTGACTTCCCCTTCTCATCCTGGCATGGTGTGGGATCAGAATGTTACATTACCTGTCTCTACTAAGCAGCTAAGGAAGGCAAGCAAACAGTGTGGTTCTGTTTAAGGTTATATAAATTATAATCAGGGTAGCTGTGTTATTAAGCAAACTGAACTACATAAAAGAGATTGAGCAGCTAGGACCCAGTAAAGCACATAGCAAAACACAGTAAAGCACACTGTCGGGGCACAACTGTACAGAGAAAGAGCCCTGGCACACACATGGCGATAACACACACGCACAAAGTGGTGCCAAAGAAGAGTGTTTGTTCTGCATTCTATAACGAGATCGAAGGATCATGAGCAGCCATCCAGAAGCATCGAAGGTGGCCCATCTCTCCAGTGGCCCACAGGGAACATCAACACTGTCATCTTCATTGTAAAGAATGATTGTACCTGTGCTCACATCCAGAGCTAAACCAACGGCAGCTCCATGCTAAACTTTCTTAGGTAAAGTAAACCGGTACTGCTGTTCCTAATCAGGCCAACAAATAGAGCATCTTTCCAGGTGGTGACTCAGATGGCCATTCAGGTTTCCTTCAGGATTTACTTTGGATTCTTCTGCTTTAAGACCCCAGAAAAATTATATTTTTTATTGATGATTCTAAGCATATGTGTTTATGCCATTTAAAATATGATAGATGAATTTAATATATTAATAACATATTACAAGTTTTGAAGCACCTATTTAGAAAAGATTATATACTATACATTTTTCAGTATCTTTTTCCAACTGAGAAGTAGCCTGTTCAACACACTTCTGTGGAGCAAGCTTTGCTGTCAGTTTTTTTTATTTTCATCTACAGTGGCTTCATACTTCTCTTTCATTTCTGCCAATTCTAGGTGAAGCAGCTCCATTTCTGGATTCTCTGGGTAGCAGCTCCTAAGTGACACTTTTGAAAATCCAAAGCACCATTAGGTTTCTGTGGTTCTTCATGCAGGCTACAGGCACGTTGGTCAGTGTGTCCGAGGGCCCAGGGAACTGCTCTGGCCTCAGCGGGCAGCCTGACGATGGGTGGCAGTGTCCGCCGGCCCTTCTGATGTTGAGCACGGGTCTTGCTAAGTTACCCGGTTGGCCTGAACCTTCAGTCCTCTATAGGACACCCTGACAGCTGCCTTGCAGCCTTGTGCCTCTGCACCCAGCTCCTTTCTCATTGCTTTAGGTGGTTATTTCCTCAGACTTCTTCAATTAGGTGTAATCAGGTATAATTAACTCTAATTGCCATTTGTCTTCTGCACTGTGTTTAAGCTCGGAGTACTTTTCAAATTACATTCACTGCTTAATTCCATTCCACACACCGGGAGGTGGTAGTCTCCTTTACTTACTTTTAGATATATTGTATTTAATTCCTGTTGTGACTGTTCTGCTTTGATTTCCATATATATGAATTTTGTTTCAGGTATTTTGATAACTAATTTTCAATTTAATTTCAATATGGTCTGAGAATATCATGTGTGTAAGGCTTATGCTTTGGTATATGTGGATCTTATATAGGACCTAGTACACAGTCACTTTTACACATGTTTTGTGCATGGTAGACATATATTCTCTAGGCTTCGTATGTGTAGGTAACAGGTGTTACAGTATTTATGTTTTAAGTGATTTTTGTCCACCTCAATGAGTTATCTGCTGAAATTAAATACATGAATATTTCCGTTTCTCTTGTAATTTTGTTAATTTTTGCTTTCTACATTTTGATGCCATCATGATATATATAAATACAGCTTTGACTTAGTATACAGATTTTATCCTTAATCTTAGTCTTTCTTGCCCCTGAGGTATATTTATTTGCAAAAATATAGCAATAACAGCTTTCTTTGGTTAGTGTTTCTGTAGTATTTACTTTTCCATCTCTTAACTTACTTTTAGCTCTTGACTTCAAGCTTGCCTTTAGTGGGGAGGCCTAAAGGGTAGCTTCAGTTTCCCTGCAGTTTTTTCTATTTTTTTTTTCCTGAATCCAGTGGAGTGTTTCATAATACTTTGTTCTTTTCTGATGTCCACTTTGTCTCCATTTTAAAGTCCTAACTTCAGAATTATCTTTCCAATTGTTCTGTTGGCGTGTTAGTCCCCAGAGGTTGTTGGACATGCTGGCTCTTGCTGATGAGGGTGTTTCCTGTTGGATTTGTCATGTCGGATTCCGGCTTATTTCCACTGCACCTTTTCCGGTAACCCCAGAGCAACCCTGGGCAGGAAAGGATCTCTCCAGAGTAACTGTGCATCAGTCTTTTCTTGGCTGCTTAGACCCATCCATCTCCATTCCGGGACCCATCTGTAATTTTCCAATGGTTTTTGAGACCTGCATGTGATGACAGTGTAACTAGAACTTCAAACTGCCTCTGGTTCTCAGTTCCCAAGCAGAATCAAGACTCCTGCCCTTCCCCTGAGGAGGATAGGCTCTGGGGTTTCATTTTACTCATCATTTCTTTCACTGAGGCACCATCAGTTACAGGCAGTGTGTTCAGGCAGATAACTGAGTGCAGGGGCATCACTTGCTTCAAGGCCAGGTGGTTATGGGAAAGCCGGGCTCAGATTCAGTCCAACAACCCAGCCTTGTGGGCTTGTTTGAATCTGTTCTGGTTTTCAGTGTTCACTTGTTTCTGGTACCTTGAGACTTCCATGTCTTGTTTTTGTTTTTAACTGTGCATACAAAATATTCTTAAATATTTTATCTAGCAATTTTAAGCCTGTATAGTTAGAAGATATTCAAGTTATCTTAGTATATAATTTTGCCAGAACTGATTCAAAGACTAGAACACAGCCAAAAAACATGGATATATTCAAACATTATATATAATTTTTTTCATGTGGTCACTTTTTTCCATGGATGACAAGGGCTAAGCAAGATACGGCTTCACCATCAATCTGAGGTATCCTGTGGGCCACTCTCAAGAGGACAGTGACTTTGTTTCTTTCCTTCTTAATTCTTTTATTAGTTCCTATTAGCAGTACATATTGATTGCATTTATCGTGTGGAGCTATTCACAAAATGGCCCTCACTGGCCTGTCACTGAGCCTCGGTTTTGTCCTGGCTTGCAGTCTGCTTCCACCAAGCACACTCACATTAAAGAAACAGGAGAAGAGGGCAGAGAGAGAAGCACCTTTGCAGGGCTGTGGGAAACCCCAGCTTTCTGGTCGCCTGGGAAATGGCCTCCTTTCCCTGTCCTTTTCCTCAACACCCCCTATGAGGCCCTGAGAGCTGACCACTGTTGGACAAGGTCAGTGGGACATGAAGGGCTGACATGAGGAACACGCCATGCGTCTCTCACCATCTTCTGTGCCCAGCTGTATCACCAGCCTTCTCACTGCCTGTTACCATCTTTCCCCCGTGCACCCATTGCAGACTGCCAGTGTTATCTTGACTGAGGGGGACTTGAACTGCTGGCCTAGAGCAGAGCAGTCCAGACTTTCCCTTCCCAGTCTGAAGATGGGACTGCCTTTTAAGAAAACTCCTCAGGACAGTAGGATGGCTTATCTCCTTCTCTGATACCTGTTGTTGCTCTCTTTTTAGGGAGGAATGATCAACTGGAATCGTCTTTTTCCTCCTCTGCGCCAGCGAAGGAATATTAACTACCAGGATGGACGGCAGTCCGAGCAGCAGGCCTCCCCACCCCTGGAGGTTTCCGAGGAGCAGGTAACACCATGGCACATGGTGCCCGCCCTACACGCGTGCCTCAGACTTAAGCAGTTCTGGCCTCTGAGAAATCCAAGCTTGGTTTTGAAAGAATAAAGCGTATCTACACAAAGACCTTGACAGCAGTTGTCACCAATGACATTAGACTTTTATTAGCTACTATGACTCTTGCTGTGGGGGTTGAGAAAAATATGATTTGAGGGGAGGAAATGCATGTTGTTGGCTTATTTTAAAGTCTGTAATACTTTATGTAGACAAGACACTAGAGAAGTTGGTTCCTGACAAAGGATGGGGAAGAATGGAATGATGGGGAGAGAATGCCGCCTTTGGCCTGTAGTCTTGACCTTTGTGAAACCATGTAAATGTTTTACACAGTTAAACAGCAAATCAAACTCTCAGAATCTCTCTCCAGGAACAAGATAGTTTTTAATGCAAAAGGAAAATAGTACTGTATGGTGAGAAATTGGACCATCCTACCCAGGCTTTTTAGAGATGGCTCAGAAATGGTCTGAACATGTGCACGCACATGTGTGCATGCCATGTGTGTGCATGTGTGTTTGTCTTGTATGCATATGTGTGTATGTGTACAAGGAAACAGAAAGTACCTTGGCAAGTAAAAATTGTTGAAGCCTGAGTAAGCAGGGGTGCTTGATACTGTTCTGGAAAAATCATTTCAGATTAAAAAAACTTCTTCACAGTCTATAAAAGCATGTACAGGACACTGCAGGGATAACACTTTCAGATTTCTGCCTGTCTATGTTTTCTTCTGAGCAAACAAAAGAAATTTGAGGCCAGCATCTCATAGCTGATCACACCAGCCAGGCCACAGACTCCCCTCTCTTCCCAGAGTAAACAAAAGCCCAGTGTGATGCAGAGGCACTGGGCTGGGGCAAAACTGCCTCCTCTGTTTTCCGGAAGCCATGCCACAGGCTCCGAGAGGAGCTGGTGTACCTGGTGAGTGGCAGCAGCCCCTCAGCCTGTCCTCAGCCCTGCTGCACCCCAGCCGCTCCTCAGGGGTGGGGATTCTTCTTGCATCTCCTCTAGAGGATTTCTAACAGATGTCACTCCGGTGCATAAGGAGGAAAGCCAAGCATCTTGGCATTTTGGAAGATCTTTGCATCAACAGATTAAAAAGTAAGAAATAGTCTGAAATCCACACAGAAAGAAACATCGAAATTATGTTTACCTGATCTAACAGTGAGTCACACACTTCATGGGGCAGCTGTTGGTGATAAGAGACATTTACAGGTGAGATATTTCTTGGTTTGGGCACTTTGGAAAAAAAAAAGTGTCAGAAAGGGCAACCAAGGAGAATGAATGTGATTGAAGTCTTCAGGGGTTTTTTACAAATGAATCATTTTGCCTTGATCCTCGCAGGATGACAGCAGTGAGGTTAAAGTGTTGTCAGTATCGGTTTAAAGTGGTATTCGCTTCTTTCTTGCTCTGTTTTGTGAGAGGACATAACCTTCAAAAGAGGTTGTTTTCAACAGACACTTTCTTATTCACTGATTCTAAATCTCATTTTTTGTGGTTCTCAGTTATCCTGAAAATGACAGTTACCAGCCATTGTAGTAGAGGTACAGGGTTCTCACAGGCATTATTTATATGCACTGTTGGCATTTCTTGTGGCAGGTGCTACAGAGATTATAAAAGATAGATTCTTGCTTTTGAGATGTTTACAGTGAAGTTTAGAAAAGTCATACCTAATGTATGATCTCTTAGTTACAAATGAAATACTATCGTTAACGTATCAAGTTAGCTTTCATTAACTTCTTATCCTTAATTTTTCAGCTCAACGTGCTTATATTTTCTTTAAGTATCAGAGCCATATTTTGTTTCGTTTTGTAGTACTGGGAATAAAACCTAAGGCCTTTCCCATGCTAACAAAGCACTGTACCACTGAGCTACATCCCCAGCTCAAAGTCATGCAATTTTAGGTGTTAAAGAAACTTAGGAATTTTCTAAACCCAGGAAAATGTAAGTGTTTCCTTAGCTTTTTCAGATACAGAGATACACTTCAGGAATTTTAGTGAGTGTTTGAAGAAAGCCTAGTAGGCCATCGATTTTGCAAACAGAAAGTTCTAAAGAGTGCACATCTTTTAATAACTCCATAGTTTATGTGGCTGTAGACATTTGCCACTTTTTCTACTTTGCTATTTTTTAAGATTCTATATTTTTCGTTCTTTAAAATTCACTCCTATTTGTCAGTGAGTCAACCTGTGGCCCCTCTGCTCATTACCGCTCCTTGGAGATGCCATTTCTGCCCTTTTGAAAGGGCCTAAAACATGGTTCCCGGGAGGCAGGTAGGGCAGCTGAAGAGAGCTGAGCCACACCCGACCTGGCACACAGACAGTCTTGCTGGCAAAAGCAACCCCAGGACACCAAGGACAGCATGTCCTCCCCAGCCTTCTTCCTGTGAACACCTGGGAGGAACGTGAGAACCCAGGCCCTTGGATGTCTGGTGGAGACGTGGAAGCCCACACAGTGGCTGTAAAATAGGGAGTGAGCGCAAGAAGTGCCAGGTCTAAAGCAAAGCGGATGGTGTGGGAGCACCAAAATGTCCTGGAGAGTGGCAGAAGGGGAGGTGACGAGGATGAATTCAAAACTGATGCGTCAAAAGAGAGTGAGGAAGAGACCATGGGAAGAGTTGGGAGACATGGGCAGTCACAAGGGGCCAGCAGGGCTGGCCCTGCTTGGGCAGGAAATGGGTGGGAAGAGGAACAAATAGGCCTGGAAGCCTGAGGCGCTAGGTGCCAGCACTAAGACCTGTGGCTGGATTTGAAATAGGAAAGTGTTGGACTTTTGCAAGCAAAGGGAAAATAAAGGGTCGCACACACCAAGGGTCAGCAAAATGGCTGCCGCCCAGCCAGCCTAAGCAGGTAGCTTTTATTGAGCTAAAGAACAAAGGAACTCAAATTGTGTATGCTCAGATTATATAACTTGTTTAATTCTTGACCTTACAGGACCTCATGTTTTTACCTTGGGGTGGGGGTGATGTTTCGAGGCCTGCACTTTTCCTACAACATTGCTGACTGGATGTGTCCAGGACAAAACGGAGTCAGTGTGGCCTCTCTACAGGAAAGGACCTCATCCGGGTCCCCTGGGGAAGGACTAGACAAGGAGGAGATGGCGGGTCAAACATAACCACAGATGTTGTCTCCCCCCCTTCCCAGGCTGCACAGTGCACTTGGGTGCCTGGGAGACCCTGGCCTAGTCAAGCTGTGTTAACACCCGGTGCAGTAACAACACATTTATAACATGGGACAGGTGACATGGGTTCCTTTAGTCCAACAAAAGGAGAATGGCTTTTAAGCCCACAAAACGCTTCCATTCTCAGCTGATATATCAGCCAAGTATATTTAGCGTTAGAGAATCCAAGTCTCTCAATCCCAGCCTCCTCTGAGAGTCTCAGAAACCCACCTAATCTCCAGAAGATTCCCCTGTGGAGGCAGAGCCCTGGCTGATACTCACTTGTCTTGAGGTGTGCCCTGGGCTTCTGCTGAGTGTTTATGTCTGAGGGAGCGGGTTATCGGTCAGTGCCTTGCATGGTATCTGGTCACCCAGTGCACAGGTATCCCGGCTGTGTTGGCAGGCAGAGGTGTCAGTCCTTCCCTTCCCTAATGCTGGGCTGTTAGAAACATGTTTTCTGTCAGGTCACACAAGGTAGATTTGTTACAGTGAAATGTTGGCCCCAGTCAGAGAATTAGCCCAACTTGGATGGTGTGCCCATCCTGCCAGGTACTTGAAAATCTGTCTACACAGCACTGGCCTAGCTTTCACTGAGGACCAACTGCGTACAGCAGCAGGGGGCACAGAAGAGAGGCTGCTGGGCACCCCAAGGTAGATCAGGAGTGCCAAGTTACCAGGACCATTTGTTGACTCAGCCTGGAGGGCGAGAAAGGGGATCCACCGTTCTCAGAACAGAGAGGTCAGACGAGGAAGGAAGGAAGACCCGAATTGCCCCACGGGACCTTGCAAGGGCGGCAGGGGGGCAGCTAACCGATGCTGGTTGTAATGACGTGGAGGTGTCCCCTGCTTATCCCCATGGGTGTGCGTGTGGCCTGGGGGTCAGGTGGAGGCCAACGTCAGGTAGACACCACTTTCTGCAAGTGTCAGTTTGGGAAGTAAGAACCCCAACACCATTTGTTTTTGACACCCTTAGCTAAAGGGAAGTTGAAGAAAACCACAGTCTGTCTTCAGCAAACCAAGCAGAGGAGTTGCTGCGGGAGCTGGTTGAATCTCCCTGGCACGAATGTCCCAGTTTCCCAGTTTTACTTGTGGCAGAGGAGTAAAAGCGAAGTATGGTGTCGCTGGTTTTCTGTAGGAAAAATTGCCCTGAGATTGCAGGAGGAATCCCAGTTACAGAAGGCTTTTTTTTTTTTTTTTTTAACTTAAAAACAAAACTGGTACAGATTTTATCTCCACCTCTATAGATTTTGTCCTGGCTCTGTGTGGATGTGTCTGTTTGAAGGTTTTATTGCTTTACGTTTTCTCCTCCTGTCACACAGGGGACCAAGGCCAGACCTTGCGCATATATGTGGGTGCCCCACGGCTGGGCTGTGTCTCCAGCCCAGCTTGGTCTCCTGATGCTGAGGGGGGAAGCCAGTGCCCCCGTGCCTGCGCCATGGGCACTCCACCGTCCCCTGAACCGCACCTACGCCCCAGGCCCGTTAAGGGAAACTGCGTGTGCCATCTCATCCTTGTGGGAACATTGTCAGCTGACAGTGACAGTGTGCTCTGACAACGTCTATGCTGTCTGCATCCCCCACCTGGATCAGCCGGCCGCAGGCTGTGTCACAGGGACTGTGGGTTCTGCCGGCGCCTGTGGTGAGGGTCAGTGACGAAACGCAGTGACAGAGAAGGCCTGGATGCTTTCACAGATGCATCTTCTACCCCCAGAGGAGACAGGGGCTTGCCTGACCCCGATGTCCAGTGAATCATCTCTGCCCCTCACTTCTGGGAATCACAGGCGTGTGAATTTACATTTGAGGAACTTCAGA